TAATTCCAATGACATGCAGGTTATTCCTTTTGATGGTATCCCACATGAACCTTATTAGGCTTTCTTCATTTTCTTTTGATCTTTTTTCTGATTGCTCCCTTTCCAAAAAAGTATTCAGGTATTTGTCTTCAATATCATTAATTCTGTCTTCCATTGCATCAATTCTACTCTTTTGCCCTTTCAATGTGTTATCTATTTCTGACAATTTACTATTAATCTTCTGGATTTCTATCTGTAGATTCTGAATCATTTCTTATTTTTCATTTATTTTGTCATTTTGAGGAGGTGGAACAATGTTTTGTGTAATATGTTATGCCAATTGAGCTTGATGTCAAGGTGGTAAATCTTTATGGAAATAGATTGTCCATCTTCTGTAAAGTGGCTGGTGGGTTTGAACCACCAACCTTCTGGTTAGCAGGCAAATGCCACTGTGCCACTAGAGGTCCTTGACTATACAGTGGGGGAGAGGAAAATGGAAACTACCTATTCAAACAAAACCCTCAACAGCACATCAATCATCTAACATATTGAAAAATCTCATTGCTAATATTCTATTTTAGGACTTTTGCATTTACATTAGACTGTTTTTTGGTATCAAAAATCAAATTTATAAAAGCTTGCATTTCTCTAACACTGTGGAATAGTTTATATTGAATGAAACCTGGTTTAAAACATAACACTATAAACATTTTTGGGATAACTAGGGACATTTAAAGTCCCTGGGTGGCACAAATAGTTTGTACTTGGCTACAAATCAAAAGGTATCCAGAGGCACCACAAAAGAAAGGCCTGGCAATCTGTCTCCCTAAGGATTACAGCAACCTCTTTGAGCCCATTTTCTTATCTTGAAAATACAGAAAATAATGTCACACTCATAATGTTGCCACCTCTGTAATCCTTGACAGTCTGTGAGGAGGATATTTCAGAATGGGTTAATTCTCTGGTCTGCGGGCCAGTATAAGAGCCTAATACATTCAATGAAATGCATTTTCATTTAATATTCATGTGTTATTTAGAGAAGGAAACTAAACTTCAGAGGGTTTAAGTAGTTCAAGGTGGTAATTAAATTTACTTTTGGAATTTAATACTGTTAATTTCCAGCTACCTCCTTCCTCCTCCATCTAGATGAACAGAAACAGGAATCTAATGCTTAACAAACCTGAAATATGAACATTTAAATTCCATTTAAACAATAATCCTCAATTTTCTGATCTTTGTGGCATACGGAGCCCTGGAGTATAGGGCCATTCAAATCTACCAGCTGGTCTGTAGAAGGAAGATGGGGCAATCTATTTCTCTAAAGATTTACTTACTGCCTTGGAAACCCAATAGGGGTCGCTATGAGTCGGAATCTACTTGGTGACACCACATTTGTGTTTTTTTGGTTTTCTGGTATCTATAGATTTACAAATGGGGAGAGTAAAGGGAAAGAGACTGAGACATTTTCATTAAGAACAAGTTTTCAGCAAACTGCACTTGTTTATTTACAATTTTAATTTACAAACAGTAACACAAACTTCTTTACATTAATATTATGGAAAAAGTCCCATGGCTGAAGTGGGTGAAAAATCAGACTTCAGGACATTCTTAAAGGGGGAACCAAGAAAAGGGAAAAGATGCAATATAACAGCTGTAGGGGAACGTCATAATTATCAAGAATTGCACTAGGTGCAATTTGATACAATTGTCTTCAACCACACAATTAAATTGTTTTTATTTAGATATTAGAATAAAATTTCTTTAATCATGTTGCCTTTTTCCACTTGATTTTGATTAAGTAAATTAAAATAACTGGGTGTTAACAGGGTGTATCCAAATATTTCTCTTATCAACCCTTAGAGACAACCTATTACATTTAGGGTGTGACAGATTTGTGTGGACTTGCAATTTCTCACGGCCCCAAATGCATTCACAGATTTCTGTCACCAAATGTGTCTAATATGCACCTCAATAAATTAAACTGAGAAGGTGACCAAAGAAAGCAGATCACTTTTCAGTTTTGTCCTATTAAAAGAAAAAGATCACTTTTCAGTTTTGTCATATTAAAAGAAGAAAAATATTTTCAAACCACTGGAACTTTTAATAAGAGAAGACAAAACCAAAGGAAAATAAATCTTAGTAAGTGATTTTTTGAAAATTATAGTTTATAATCTTTCTGATTACTTAGCTTTATTTAAGTGGAAGTCAGTGTGGCCACAGACCATGAGCTCAGTGAGGAGAAATGTGTGTTCAACACTTGTTTTGAAATATCCGGAATCAAATATTCCACTTGTAATAAAGACCAATGACATTTTTATAGATACAATGCTGTCCTTATAATGTTAATTTTAATGACAACATGCCTATCGTATATAGCTTAACTGCTCCTTAGAAAACATTAGGATCAGGTTTAGTAATTCTGAAGCACTGTTTTCAAATTATTAGCAAATGGTGCAAGAGTGATATAGAAACATGTTTCAACATTTCACAACTCAGAATTGCATTTCTGACTTGGCTGGAATATTCACCTATTCCATTAACAAGATTTCAGTCTTTTTAAGAACAGAAACAGTGAGATAATTATTAACCTAAGTAATACTTTTTAGTTTCTGATATTGCTCAGTAGGTAAAACTTAATAAGGGACTCTTCAACTAATTCTATCTCTAATTTTCAGTGAAGACACTGCAAGTCTGCCTGTGTATGGTTGTTTTTAAACCTGAAAGTGATACATGTTCTCTTAAAACAGCTCTTCAAAACAGAACTGCTTTCTGCACCCTTGATTCATGAGGGTACAGGGTCAGTTACTCACATAGTAACTGACCTTTATAACAAATCATTTTACAAAACCAAAAATGCAAAAGAAAATTTCAAAAAAATTTTACTGTCCATAGATGGATTATAGTAATTTACACTATCTTAGACCTGTTATTCAAGCACCCCCACAAGCGCATGAAAGGTCTCCGGTTAATATTCAGTCAGGAAAAGAGGTCCATGGTTCTCTCTTGGTTGCCTTAATTTCTTTTAAATGGTTTTCTACATTAACTTTCCAAAGCATCCAAAACTTTCATAATCTGTTGTTTTATGGCTTTGGTAGCATCCCCTGCATTTGGAATCAAATACCTATGGGGCGAAAAATACATATGTATATATTAATATAGTGCTTTTAAAGTAATATAAATTCCTTATAAAACTCCTATGAATAAAAATTCAGAGATTAAATGATTTTTTTTAAAGTAAAACTGCAGAAAGTAGAAATTCCTGCTCACGTCACTAAGAATCAATCTCTCATTTTAGTTCAAAAAAACGCTTGTTACTGGTATTAAGCTTGATGTTCAGGAGACAAATGACCTGAATAGTACATACTCTTCCAGCATATACCATAGGATTTTGGTTTTATTAAGCTACTGTAAGGTTGCCAGTGAGCTTTCAAATATTGTATCTCAGATACTGAATTGACTTTATATTATTCTACAGCTATTTCATATAGTTCACATTTTTCTCTTTGTATTTATAATTAACATCACTATCTTCTCAGCACACAGTTATTGAATTAAGCTCCCTATGATGATGAAACAGTACTTGAACAACCAGTTACTTACCTCTTTTAAGTCAATTATTTGATGATGACAGCTGCCACTGAGTCGATTCCAACTCTTGGCAACCCTATGTGTGTCAGAGTGGAACTGTGTTCCACAGGGTTTTTGATGACTAATTTTTCAGAAGTAGATTGCCAGACATTTCTTCTGAAGGGCTCCTGGGTAGACTGAAACCTCTAACCTTGAGGTTAGCAGCACAGCATGTTAACTGTTTGTACCACCCTGAGACTCCTCCCTACTGCTGCTGTTATTATTGGGTGCCCTTGGAGTCAATTCCAACTCACAGCAATCTCTTATGACAGAGGAGAACTGCTCCAGAGGGGTTTTTTGGCCATAATCTTTACAGAAGCAGATCACCAGTTCTCCCAGGGAGCCAATGAGTGGGTTCAAATTCACCAACCTTTCAAGTAGTAGCCAAGCAGTTAACCACTGCACAAGCAAGGCTCCTTTCCCTGTTGCTACAGCCTACTAAAGGATCTGTCTGTCTCTCATCTTGCTCTTCTCCAATCTATCTTTCAATACACCTGGGGTAATTTTTCTAAAATACCCTCTAATGGTATCACTTTCTATTAAATCCCTTATTACCTTTAGGATAAAGTATAAACTGATTATTTAGGCATACAAAGGACATTTACCTTTCTATATTGCCCCTTCTCCAACCCAAGCAAGCTACCTTATTATCAGCAATTCTGAATTACTTGCAACCCAGGGTAACTTTGGTTTTCCCTTTAGGACTCAGCTTTAGGTGTCACCTCCAAGGGGGATCTTTCCCTGATGCACAACTGCCACAAACTTCTCATAACTTATTTCAAAATGTACTACAAAAATATGTTGGAAATGAAAGGCAACCTACATTTAAAAACTATGTGATTTTTCATGTAGCTTAGACCTAAAATTCTGTGAACTGTTATTAAATACATATATATGGTAACTAGATAATAAATCACAAAAGAAATACAGTTACAGTCATTTTTGATATTTAATCTTAAAGACAATGACAGCTCCAACACTTACTAGTTTGACCTTGAGCAAGGAATTAAGTTTGTTAAGTCTCAGATTCCTATATATAAAATAGGTAGCATTATCCCAGTTTTACAGGGGGGCTATTTACATTAAATAAAATAACATTATGGGGTCTGAAATATTAAAAAGAACTAAATATATGGTAAACCATTACAAATTATCAGCATTACAGACTAATAATATTCCTTTTCTTTTCCAGGAGCATAAAAATACAAAAATATATACAGGAAAAACTTTCTGTAAAATCTAACAAATACTTACATTGTATACATCATCTGTGTTACAAATATAAGTGGATATAGAGAACTGTAATTAAAAATAAGAGGGGAAAATCTGGCTAATTTATCTACAATGATTATGACTATCTTCCAAAAGCTTGGATTAAAATAAAGTGCTGGTATATATATATCAAATAACTTTCAATTTCTTTAGCTAAAACTTATAGGAAAAGATTTGAAACATACTTTTCATTTACTATTATACATGGGAGAGTCATAATTCCAATATGGTTTGATTAGGAGTAAGTTTTAAGTAAATGTTAAAATATGTGTACCCTCTGACCACTGTATCTACTTCTACAAATTTATCATGGAAAGATAAATTGGGTAAGTATCTAAGTAGGGGCTAAAAAAGCAGTTCCATTTAAAAAAAAAGTTAATAACAGTGAAAAACTGAAAATAACCTAAATGCTTATCAACAAAGGATTTGGTTAAGTCAGAGGCTATTTATATAGTAGAATAACATCTACCATAAAAAGTTAAGAATTTATATTTATCAATATAGTAATATATTCACATTATAGTAATGTTTTAAAAAAATTAGTATACAATAAAAAGAATGTATCAAATTTACCTAGTTTTTAATATATGTATACATATGCATAGAAAGTGATCTGAAAAGGTACTCATCAAAGTGTTAGCAGGGTGAGGGGTCTGGGTGATTCCTTTCTATTTTCCTTTGCTATTTGAATGCTTTCATAATGTGAATACATTATTTTTATTATTACATAAAGCAGTTTTAATTTTTTTAAAAGTAGATAATACTTTCTTTTAATGAAGTACATGTAACAGTACAGACTCATGACTTCTGCTGCCTAATTGTCAGTACAAAGTAAAAGAAAGTTCAATTTTCCATTTCAATTGAAGGTGAAAATTTTAAATCTCAAAAGTGCTCAGACATTATCTTAAGCTTATTTTTCAAGCACTCCTATAAATAAATAAAGGTTCTAGAGTTCATAAGAACTGTAATCCCAGGTCTCATGAGAACAACTTCAAGTAATGCAAGGTGACTGTGGTAGTTAAGGTTATGTGTCAACTTGGCTGTGCCTCATTTTGAGTGACTTGGCAGCTGGTTGTAGTTATTCCCTATATGAGATTGGTAATCATTTCCATGGTGGAATCTGCCATGAGCAGATTTAGGAATGTGGTCTGCTCCCAGTATATAAGGAGAAACTTTGGGAATGAGCTGCAGCTTTTGGCAAGCTTGAATCCTGAAAGTAGCCAAGTCATCATTCAGCAGTCTGCCATAATTGCCTGCTGGTCCTGGGACAGTTTCTGCACTTGAATTAATGGTCTACCATGTTGTTTGGTAATCTTGGGGCTGTGCCATTTTACTTGTGGACCTTGGGTTTGTCAGCCTCAGCAGCCAGCAGCTGCCTGAGTGAAGAGACAACTCTAGCTCCAGTGGGCTGGGAGCAAGAGGCAGAGCTGAAGCTCAAGGTCAAGGAGATTTCATCCAGCCCCTAGAGCTTGGTACTTTGAACTCAGACTTCTAGCCTCCACAACTGTAAAAGAAAACTATCCATTTGTGGTAATTTCTGTTACAGTGGTACTAGAAGACCAAAACAGTGGCTCAGAAGTCAGGAGGACTATCTATAGTCCAGGCTCTATGAACAGCTAGATGTGATGGTTTAGGAAGCCACTCAACCTCCCTGGGCTTCATATTTTTATCTAGACAGTTTAGCACTGAAATCAGTATCGTCCATGGCCCTCTTGCCAGTCTGCAATCTGTTTGTTACTAGTTTACAATGAGATAAGGAGCTTGTACATCATTCAGCACAATTTAGTTCACTGACAGTTTTGAAAGCAAGAATTTTTTGATGAGGGATCAAAAAATATTAACTTCCATTCTGAGATAAGCACCTTACCTCTACAAACCAGCACTTAGTACAGCGACTGGGACAGATTATTTATTCTTAAGGACCCTCTTGTCAAAAAGTATTATGGAATTAGCTATGGCACACACTAAGAACATGGACTAATGGCTAAATGACACATGACTAAGGATTTGGGAGAAAAAGACAGCAAAGAATATTAATGAAAATGGTTCAAGTAGTCTATTCCACCATCCATTATGCCAAACAGAGAAATAAACCATGTTTAATAATAAACTGTTGTAATTCAGATACTCTCATACTAAGAAAATCTTACCTTTCAATTGCCAGGATTTCTATTCCTGAAGCACTGCTATTTCCATACTTGAAGGTAATTAGCTCAGGATGTTTCTTTTTGGATGTAATTTTAACTACAGAATTTAGTGCTTGTCGAGACTGTATATAAGCCAATCCTTTCCGTGAAAGAATCTCCCTTAAACAGTACATGTGTGTTGCAGTAACTAAGAGATGACTTGAGAAGAAAAAAGAAAAGCGTAAGAAAGAAAAATAATTTTAAAGAAAAGCAATTCAAAAGAGCTGCTGCTTTTAAAAACTGCAATTATAAAAAATATTCAACTCTAGAAGAAACTACTTTGCAATTAGAAAAACATGCCACATAATAAAGCTTTTAATTTTCCTTTAATTGTATGTGAAATTAATATTTTATTAACAAAGATAATGCTGTAATTGTTTGAAAGCAAAGGTGTATTATTTTGTGATAAAAAGTTCAATATATTTTAAAATCATTAAAATAAATAGATTTTTGGTCAAAATTACCTTTCAGACTTTTAAAAGTATTATCTGTATTTACAAACTTAAAAATAACAAATGCCTTCTCCTTGTCTTTTTCCTTCCCATATTATAAGGCTATATTTCTCACCTAAAACAAATATACAGTATTAACAATACTTCAGGATCAAAGAGTATATATTTGATAGGTTATAAAAATGCTATTAGAAACCAGACTAAGTGAAAATGATGAAAGTCATGTAAAATCATATGAACACTAGGATGCTACAGTTATGCATATATTAAGATGCAACACACCATAACATATATCTAGTATCAAACATCACTAGGCAAAAAGTTGAGCTTCCTTACATATTTTACAATAGTCTATAACTGGATCCTGAAGGCAAAACAGGTATAGAATTATTAACATCCTCTTATGTCTCAGCTTGGGCAATCTATTTCCTTAGTGGTACCGCCCTGGAAACCCAAAGAAAGGTTGCTATGAGTCAGGTCTGACTCGACGGTAAATAACAATAACAACACGTCTCAGCTTACTTTCAATATAATGATAGTTCTCAGAATGTGCTTTGTTCTGCCAGACAACTGGCCCAGACTTGAAGGAGTCCTTCATTATAAAGAAAAAAGAGAGAAGATGATGTTATAGACTGAGTGAGAATAAAGAGATAGCAGGCAAATGCAATGTTTAACCCTCAACTGGATCCTGAATCAGGAAGAAAAAAATGAAGGCAGTAAAACATACTTTCAGGACACTCCAAAACATCTGAGTATGGTATGATGTTCA